GCGACCTGGTGGCCTGGTCCTGCCAGGTACGTATCCACACGTTTCCCCTCTATTGCTTTCCGTGTGCAATCTCGTGCGTTTGTTGACTTCGTCGTGCTCACACGAGCATAGTCGCATGCTCATCGTCGCACCGGCGCGCAGTTCTACCTGCGATCGATAGTCTACAAGAGAGCCGAAACGATTCCCGCCGCCGCGAGGATATATATACTGACAACGTGACGTCATGGCGAAATAATCCTCATCGCAAAATCAAATTCGCCGGCATCGCAGGATCTCTCATTGCCCGCGAAAGAAGGACAAGGATACGCTATCGAGGAGAGAGAAATTCATTCGATGTTTATCGTACGACGCGTATCTGGAGATGACAATTTTGGAATTTACATAATAAGCGAAAGATAATCGAGACAAATCACATGGCAAGGCATGGCTTCAATTAATGCAATAATAATTAAAAATGTGGTATATAAATAATGATAAATAAATATAACCACATGCATATTTAATGCATTTATCTGCAATTTTTTGGAAAGAGATACAGATGAAAATTAGAATCCTGAGATATTTCGATTTAAGAGAGACAGGCTTAAAAAAGCTGACATCAAGATACAGTTTAAAGACAGGTATTAAATGTGTGTGTACCGGGCGACACGCGGCGGCGAGTCATTCGAGATCAAGGTCGTCAGGACCGCAAAGTTTTGCGCGGCTCTGAATAAAAACTTAATATTTAAATAAGAGGAAAAGAATTTTAAAAAATGAAGATTACGAAGAGATATCCCTTGAAGAGAACTGTATCGCCTTGAAGACTTAAAGTCTTTGTCCCCAGAGCTTGGTAACAAGCGAAGAACGTACAAGGACATATTCAAAATCGGGTCTATTGAGAACTGTATTAAACGATCGATAAGATCATTATTCCACTCGACAATTCGTGAATCTCATTTCACCGGGATTGGATCCCGAGAAGGTTAATTGCATACTCTACGGAGAGTGCGGCATTAAGGATGATCTCAGACTCTATGAGCTGTCCGAAACTTTATATCTTGTATTGATGCACAATGGAGAAAATGTGTAGTTAGCAGTGAGATTTTAAATTAAAGTAGTATTCCAATAGTTACCGATCTAGTTATTATAATAATAATCACATAGTAAATTGTTTTTTCAGATATAATTTTAAATTTCGCATTTCTTCTCTCTAATGTAATTTATGTTATATTTTGAGGCGGTTTTAATTTAAACAAAATATATCTCATTTATTATAAAGTATTTTAAATAATTGCATAATTAAATGTTGGTTTTAAAGGAAAGCAAGTATAAATTTATTTGAAATGAAAATATTCGCAATTCGAAGCCAAAATATCGCGTATTAGCGAGATGGGACATATATATATATAATGAATATCAAAAGTAGATTAAATATATTAAAAATGAATGTATTCAACTTTAGAATCAAATATTGAATTACTATCAATTATTTAATTTTAATCGAATGAACCAAAAATCATTCATTCATGCTAATTTTAGTATAAATTTTATATATCCTTTTATAGAGATATAATTTATGAAAAGAGTACACACACATACAGAAGAAAACGACACCATGCTAAAATTAATTAAATCAGATTATTGATACGGCACAATTTCAATGAATCTTACATTCCCATTTTTAGCAAAAATAATGAATCAATGCTCTATTACGTGATTTAATTTTAGACTATCTCGTGCATTAAGTACAATCGCTTTATACAAATCGTCATTTTCAAGTTTCCCATTTATGACTGACTTGTATGCCTTTTTAGTAAACGCGTTCAAACTATTGCATAAATTGGTCGAGGTGTGTTGTTCAAAATAATTAATCAAGATATTCACTGTATACACATCACAAGAATATCTTAAAATAGAAGAGCGCTATGTGATCAGACTATGTAATTATGGAAAATTATCTTGCCCCGCGCGAATCCGAAAATGTAGCGAAAACAGGTATACGATATTTGATCCTGCGTGATCTCGGCTTCTTTGTGGGTAAGCATCCGCATACGGTCAAGAAACAGTTACATTTTTATACCGCACAGTGTACAGTCACGAAACTGGCTTGTTACCGGAAACGATAATTACCGCAACGAGTGGGACTGTCTACAATCGCAGAAATAGACGCGATGCGAGGAGAGAATTTTTTGCGTGGTTCTGTTATAGTTGAATAAGTGGAAGTTCGCAAAAAAAATGACGAATTAGAGAATATGAAGAGCTATTGCATCATCAGACAAACATACATATCGCAAAAGTATGTGGTATCTTTCATATGATTATTAAATTTGTCACATGAACTCGTCACAAATGTGATTTTTCGTGATAAACTTTCTGTTCTCAGAAAAAATCAAAGAGAAGATGGAAAATTCTCGAGTTTATAGGAGCTTTCTCTTACGTAAACACGTTCCCAGAGTTCAATCGAGCGGTACGATCAATAATCGTCGGTAAGAAAAATTAAAATTTAAGTTTAATACGACATACAAGGTGTTCGATTTATAACTAGAATATAACGCTGCATATATACATATATGTTACAGATTTTTCGTGTAAACTCAGTTTTATTTTACAAAAAGCTTAGCTTTTTTATAATATAAAGCGCCGAATCTCTTTGCAGACCGGCATTTTATAAGAAAATCTAGGCTCTTTGTAAGAAAAACTAAATTTGCAAGAAATCTATAATATATATAATGCACAGACTTCTTCATATATTTCTAGCCATTTTTTAAAGATGTATTATCTTTCCTCTTTCTAAATTTTATATGCATATATTATACATATTATATAATAGAGAAAGTAAAAAAAAAAAAACACAATAGAATAAGCATTTATAAATTCAAAAAAAAGTAAACAGAGCATAAATGAAAGAATTGAACTGAATAAATGTGATACAAAATCGCGAAAACTGAAGTCTTATAAAATTCATTTTGATCATCTTTTGGCAACGAATGACAGAGAAAATCACACTGTCATTTTTTTGACACAGCGTTACGAAATAAAAATGATTGTCTCAAACTTCCCGAGAAATTTATGCCGCAATAAAAACCGCAATTTCTCCGTTAACATTTTTGTCAAAGAAGGACATGCGAAGAGAGATCGCCGGTATGTTCGCCGGGACGTAAAGATATAACCGGCCGGATAATCTTGATAAGAACCATTCTCGCGCGTGATCGAGGCGTAAGTAAATCTCACGTGCACGCGCGCGCGTAAATGTCATCGATCATATCTTTTCGATACGCACGCGAGATTCAAGACTCGCGCGAGAGGAACGAGACAGGAAGTCAGATACCTGTCGGCGGAGGGCGCGTTCATACCGGAATCGATAACGGCGAGGAGGGCAGCGCGCCGTGGGGAGGCCAGGATGCAACCCCGACGACGATGATGCACGTCGCAGGTAAATGGGTCGCGCGACGTAAAACACGCGCGCACGCGCGTGCGTGCGCCACGGCTCGGCATCGCAATTCCGACTTTTGCGAAATCGCCGAGATTCCCCGTGACCGGTTTCTGCCGGTATCTTCTCGAGCCTTCGGTGCTATCGCGGCTATTGCTTTGTCGTCTCTCTTTCTCTCTCTCTCTTTGCATCTGTTGGAATTGCTACTTATCTCGCAACTCACCTGCGTACACCTGTGCGCCTGACAGCGCTGTTCTCCGGAAGCGGCGTCCAAAATCCGCGGGCGCGAAAAGCGATCCGGTCCGTGACACACTCGCGACCTCGATCAAACCGCGTGCGTAAGAAAGGGGAAGGTGGGGAGGGGAGATGTGATAGATGGGGAACAATAATGACAAGGGCAAAAGAAGAGAAATGGGAAGAGGAACGAGAAAGAGTGATGCGCGGAAGAAGGAAATGGAACCGAGCGAGAGGGATAGACAACGGCGGAGAAAGAGACGAGATCTCGTATCGCGTGGGCGAAATGAGCGGGACAGAGTTTGTCTCGCGAAGAGCGAATGTCTTCTAATCTAAGACGATTGCGAATCTCTCGTGTCACGGGGAGGAAGGTGCGACGAGAGCCCGAGGAGAGCACACGGCACGCGCGCGGCTCTCTATCACGGCGGCATTTTCACTGAGGAAACGACGGCGAGGAACGAGAGAGAGAGCTCTTTGCGGCGAGACCCCCCCCCCTGAGTCGACGGAACCCCGTTTTCGTAAACGCTCACGGACTCTGCGCGTATCGGGAACGACCGGAGCGGGGTACGCATGCGCCTCCATTCACGATGGGTGCACGCGGGCGCGCCGTCTCTTATCAGCGGTGAGCGTCACGTCGGTGCGGGGGCGCATTTAATCCCCCTCTACCACTTTCTCGCGCGTGAAAGAGAGAGACGTGGAGTTTTGAGGGTTTTCAAAGAAAGGAGAACGCGAGCGAAACAGGAGCGGAGCCGGTTTCTGAAATACCCTAAGTTATAAAGTGTTAATTAACTCGTATGAGAACAATGTAAAATAAATTGAGATTGATTAATTTCATTAGAAAGAGAGAGAGAGAGAGAGAGAGGCAGAGAGATATTTGAAAATATTTTAAGGAGGAATGTAAATGAAACATGGATATAGTTAATTCAGTTTATAAAGAGATGTTAATTTTTATAGAGACAAATTTTTTCGAGCAATATTAAGCTTAAATATCAAGAATTCATTTTTTCAATTTCTTTGCTACATTTTTAGCGTGTAAAAAAAAAATATATATAGGAATGAAAGTAAAGATGTGAAAGAAATTGGCCATTTAGTTGACAATAAAAGTTACAATCAAACAATTCAACATCTAACGTAGATGATTTTATTTTTATTTTTTATTTTTTAATTTATAGACTTCTTTTTTAAATTCTTTTAATTACATTTTTCTCTTAAAATATCCAATATTGTAAAATAATTAGTAAAATTAAATGTCATTATATTTTATCTTTTCTACCATCAATATAGATAAGAATTAAACTAATATATATCATAAAAAAAAAGAAAAAGAAAGGGATGAGATATTATAGATATAAATATATAATGTGTGCTCTTTTATATTATATTGCCATTTCTTTTTAAGCAAAGATATTACAAATCTTCTCTTATCAGTTTACTCTACTCTCGAGAAGCGGATTTAGTCACGGCTATTTGATTCTCTTATCTTTAAACGTTGACTGTAGGAGAAAATGATGCAGTTTTGCTGCAACAGAGAGAGAAATAGAAGAGGAAACGTTTATAACGTTGCCGTAGGTGCAAATTTTAAACTCGCTAGACATATTTATCTTAAAATTTCTTCTCTCTCGCAAACAACGCAAACGATTTATAGTAAAGAATTAGTTAAATCTTCACTGATTTGTAATTTTGAAAGAAAGTATCTCGTTATTATACATACATAATCGCGAATGAAATAGTTTTTTATTAATTTTGCATATATTATGGATTACACTCTAGATAGATATATTGTAAATTATCTTAGCTAAATTATCTTAATCGTTTCCGCTTATCTTTTTAAAAACGCAACGGATGCTCAGCGAAAATAGATATACTCTTTAAATCGGATCAGGCACAGGAATTTTCGGCATACGACCTTCCATCATATCACTCAGTAGTACACTGATCTCCTGAAAGGAAATAATTTATTTAATTTACGCTTAAAATTAATGCCAATCTTCTAATTATCTCTCTTTTAAATGAACAAACATTAATTTAATTATTAAGCAAACATAATTGATAAGATATACACCTCTTCCCGCTGCATTCTCAGTCTATCGATAATGGGCTCGTTAAAGTTAGGATCATTGCTGGGATCCTCCAAAGTACTTTCGTCGCTCTTCGATACTTGCGGTATGCGGGAGATGTAGATTTGTTTGATGGTGTCTAAAATTGCCGATGATGGTCTCGTTTGAGGAAACTGCAAATCGATTCGTCCGAAGGAATCCGCGCCCGCCGGCATCATTAATGGCTTCTCATAATCTGTGCACTTTTCCTCCCTTGCGATTTATTCAATTTAAACGAACAATAAACGTCAAAATTCGCCAGAAAGCGCATATTATTTATAAGTATCAAACACTTACGTAAATGAAGAACCGAATCCGTAGTGAGATAATAGATCTTTAAGTCGTCGTACGAGAAATTTATCTTTAGACGAATAATAATAAAGACTTGCACCCAAATTATGAGCTATCGCTCTCAGTATCTTGCCAATAAATTCTTTTTTATCCGAGTCAAATTCCTGTTGCAATGATTAACACAGAATAGAATGCACAGATTTAAAATATTATAAATTTGTTTAAATATCAAAAATACGAGATATATGCTAATTTCATTGAAGAGATTTAGAATTTATTGAAAAATTAGCTTTGATAACTTATATATATATACACGTTCTTGAAATTAATCAAAAGACTTAAATTTTCAATATTAATTAATTGTATAGCGATTGTGGTATTTTGGAATTGAAATTAGTAGCATTTTTTTATTTTGTCTATCACATTATCTATGATAAAAAGAAAATATGCAATTTCTAATATAAAAATCTAGAATTAGAGCTAACAGATATTGAATCTAGAACAAAAAAAGAAATATTATAATATATACATATATATAAAATATACCTTGAATTCATCGTATCGTCCACCTAAGATACACATCTGCATCGGGAACGGATCAATTCCGCGTTCTATATCTTTTTTCATATTTGTTATTCTTTTTTCCCGTAATTTTTGAATCGTATCGGAATCATAACTCATTTTCAAACCGCTTCGTAGTACAGAAAGGGTTTCTTCGAAGGAAGTCCATAATTCTTCTGGTCGCGATAAATCTAGCATTATCAATATCACAGTATGATGAGGAGAATGTGTTAATGTAAATCCGGTCATTGCGACGGATACTAAAGAAGAAGCCAAGTGACCCACTTCCCACACGTGCACTATATTTTTCACCTGCATACACGGGCAGACATGCACACATACATACAGTATAGCATATTATTTATAAATTTAAGAATTTAATAATGGATTAAAGTTTTGATAAAAGTAATATAAATTTTTAAGTTTTAATTATAAATATATTGCAATAGCTGTTAACTGTTATTTGTTATGTAAATAAATTAATTTTGTAAAGTTTGTATGTGTGTATGTGTAATCAGAAAAATGAGAGAAAGATAAATGAATGTAATTGGCACGTTTATCACTTACTAAACTTTTCACAGTTTTGCGACCAAATGAATAATCCATTGCTATAGTCGGTTTTGGTCTTTCGTCTTTTTCAAGAAATCGATATACCATTGTTGTTTTACCCTAGAAACGCAACTGAAAATGCAAAATACGTCGCGACACAATACACTTCCCTAATTTTATCACTTACAATTCCTTTACTGCCAAGGATAATAATGGATCGTTCGTGAGTTTCATTTGGATCAGTCTTGCGTCTGTTTTCTTCTTCTATAGCGAGCCGTAATGCAGTTTCCCGCATAGATTCCTCACTATAAAATCAACTTTACTATAAGTTATTCTATGTCAAAAATATATGATAACAAGTATAATAGATAATAGATAGTAGGAGTATCGTAAATTATATATTTATTAAGTTGTATATATCTGTACTAAAGGATCATGTATAGATCTTTTTTTCGAATCTCCTATTTGTAAATTATTATTGTAAAATTACTGATATGTTAAATGAAAAAACATTTTTATAAAGATTTTCTCAGATTAATGGTTTGATATAATCATTTAATTTAATAGTATATTATAATAATACATGTTTCTTTAATATATATAATACAAAAAAGGGCCAACGCGAATTAAATATATACAGAATAAATTAATCACCGTTTTTCTGCTGACATTGTTTTTAAAACAGTAAAGAATGATACTACAAATTGTAGTTGTATTCGCACAATTCCGTGTTTCTTTAGGTTATGGACATGTTTTACTTTTTGTTACTATAGAGACAGGTGAACGATCATTTGATGTACCATTCTTGCATGATGTAAATTTGTATATATATTATTGCAGAGATGTGAATGATCGGTATGCAATATATGTATATACATATAGTGCAATAGAGCACAGTATTCGATGTAGCTGTTTAGAAACGATAAATCATTAATTTCTATATTATTTTACATTCCTTAATGTCCAGTCTTGATTTACAGAATTTAATAGGCATTAGAATTTGTTTACATTTAAATAAATAATATATGTTATATTAATCTATCTTTCAACTGTCGCAGTGTTATTAATCTTTTGATGTTCATAATACATTATGCAAGAGAGAGTACAAGATATAATAATTTACATCTACGTTTAATCGCTTTCCTACGTAACGACTCATTCGTATGCGCGATGATCTAACGCGAGGTCATCAGTCTTGGTAAAGAAATATCCATGAGGAAATATCTTTTATGGTAATTAACTCTGACTACTTTCATTTAATTTTGATTTTTCCATGATAAAGAATATGTTTTCAGAGTTTTACAATATCCATTTCCGCTGGATCATAACGCATAGTCCTCTAAATTTGTGAATCTGTTATGAATTAAATCGATTACTTTTTGTGTACCTTCTTTCCGTACATTATATACAACTTTTAGACTAGAAGAAGTCAGGAATGCAATGCACATTACAATTCGCAATAAAACTCAACATCTTTTGAACCAAATACAAATTCGAAAGTGCGTTTTTTGGAATATTAAATTTTTCATAATTACGAACACATCGTCTTTCATATGTAAGTATTGTAGTAAATTATTTGTTATGTAAGAGTTGCGATATTACAAATTATGAAGAATATTAATGTTAAGTAATATAAGCAATTTTTTCTGAAGAATTAAAAATGACGAGCACGCATCTTTTTTATATTTTTTTTAAGCGCGCACCATACAATTTATTTTTATAACGTATTGATTATAATCAATGCAAGATTTACATAATAAACATATAACGATTAAAGCAGTCATATTCATCTCGTTTTTATTTTTTTTTTAATTTTAATTTAATTTAAACTTTTTTTTAAATTTTAATTTGATTTCTATATACATTATATGCTATACAATTTGTTTCAATTTAATTATTGTTGAAATACTTGTTACGAAAAAATATCTTTTAAAAAAACGTCTAATTTTGGAAATATAGGCTGCGGGCATACTAAATACAATACGTACAAAAAAACTTACAAATTGCTATGCTTCGTTTTGTTAGACATCGTAATACATCGAAATGCCTGTAAAGGATAATATTAAATTGCATGAAAATAAATACTGTTTCTCTCTGCCTTTTTTTTTTTAAAATGACGAGCACGCATCTTTTTTATATTTTTTTTAAGCGCGCACCATACAATTTATTTTTATAACGTATTGATTATAATCAATGCAAGATTTACATAATAAACATATAACGATTAAAGCAGTCATATTCATCTCGTTTTTATTTTTTTTTTAATTTTAATTTAATTTAAACTTTTTTTTAAATTTTAATTTGATTTCTATATACATTATATGCTATACAATTTGTTTCAATTTAATTATTGTTGAAATACTTGTTACGAAAAAATATCTTTTAAAAAAACGTCTAATTTTGGAAATATAGGCTGCGGGCATACTAAATACAATACGTACAAAAAAACTTACAAATTGCTATGCTTCGTTTTGTTAGACATCGTAATACATCGAAATGCCTGTAAAGGATAATATTAAATTGCATGAAAATAAATACTGTTTCTCTCTGCCTTTTTTTTTTTCGTCCACGACCACATATATATTTGTTCCAGAAAATAAAATTTCTATGGATATATATATCTACGATAGTGTGTATATATATATTATAGTAATTTCTTGAACACTGTGGTCGGTAAAAATATTTGGGAGAGGCGTATGACACGATTATACAATGTAATCACAAAATTATAATATTAAATATGAAAACAATGAATGTATGATGTAAGTTGCTCATAAAAAAGAAATTATATTGTCGGGATTATAATAGGAAATAAGTTATGATTATATCATTTGTGTGTGAAAAATTCACTTTTTAATATTAAAGGTCCTATTTTATAGAAACATTATGTTTGTTGTTCTCTTTACATCAAACTAACGAAACTGTATCGTGTTTTGTCAGCACATATATATCATGATATTTAGCATCAATGAAGTATTCACGATTTTACGAATCATAAATTCAATGCAAGTAATACTTCTTTTATAAAATCTGTCAGGCAATCGGTGAACATCGATACCGTATGTTTCATGTTTTTCAGATATAACTAATGATACAAGGAAGACAAATGTGTGTCACAGAGATTAGTCACCTTTTTCTATAATATTTCATTGCTTCTATAATGCAGTATATCACGCGCTCTGCATGTTATCTAGTCCATATGTCACTCATCCAATTATCGTTTAACTCTTCGCTCGGTAGAACTTTTAATTTTCTCAAGGCTTCGAGATAAAATGTGAGTTCCGACGTGACCACGCCATGCTGCGGGCCACCATTATTCACTACATTCATTTTAACCAGTTGCTCCCTAAGTTTCTCCTTGAATGATGAATTTACCTTGCGGTAAAGAGATTGTACTTCGACAGTAGGCAAAATTCCAGAGACGGCTTCGTGAAGTTTTATTAGATAACTATGTGAGCAAAAAAGATATATACATTTTAGAAGAAGCATATATATATATAAAATTATATAATTGAATATATTGAGACATTTACCTAGAAATATTTCTGAAAGATCTGGATGGCACTGGAGGTCTTGCTGTCCATTTGGATATCTGTCCGCCCAGCAAATTGTCTACGATAGTGAGAATTTTTCCTTCAATCTCACGTACATGCGCGCGTATGTCCCTTTCAACACTATCTAATAAAGCCACCCCTCCACTTATACCGGATGTGCCAAATCCTCGACTAGGATTTTGTTCTGTGAGTGCTGTATATTAAAATATATATTGAGGATAGATATTCTCTCTCTCTCTCTCTCTCTCTCGTGTATCTATATGATGCTGCTTTTGATTTGATATAAGAATACTTGATATATTTTATATATCAAATACGACGTGGATTTACCTTGGAAATGCGTCTTGACAAAGGGCATGAACCACAATATAAGCTTGAGACTTCGTGCCGCCAATACGAGTATCGTACTTGTAATGGTTTTTAAGCCTGCGACGTGCATTGCGCCCGCACCTAAAACTAGTTGACAGCATCGAGAATTATAATGTCTTAATAATTCGGCTAATTGTCTTCCTATGGTACCAGATAAGGCGACCAATTCACTACCGGTCCTAAAAAAAGATCGTACGTTATACCATGCAAAGTTTACGAACAGACACTATCTTTACCTGCAGTATTCGTGTATCATCTGTATAAGCATCAAAGCAGTACCAACAACGGCGAATTTTTCATCGCCGACCATGATAAAATTTTCTATACTCTCATTTCTCGCGCCATCCTCGCGCGTAAATATTTTAAGCGGAAAGCATTTGTTCTCGTATACATATGCCACTAGCGATTGAAATTCTAACGGCACGTCAGCTTGTTTCCACCTTTCGGATTCCAATAGTAGCGTTAATTTAGTTTTACGTTCATTATGAAAGCGTTGTACAAATTTACTCGCTTGTGCCTGTAAAAAAAGATCATATGGAAGAGTTAGTTTACCTGACAGAGCTTAAGGTCAATTTTGTACGAATACTATGTGTGACGTATACTTAAATAATAATTACCTTAAATGCCGATCGTAATGCAGTACACTGTTTGCCACAAAGTTTCTCGCAAGCGTGCGTGAATTCTTCAACCATATTGGCCAATTGACAAACCTGAGCGGTCGTTGCTTTCTCGCTCAACCAAGAGCTCTTATCATTCCACGTTTGACATTCCTTATTCTCTTCTAATTTATTCTGCGAGTTATCAGCGATAATCTTGTCGTTGTGAAGTTTATCCTTCTCGTTTGTTCCCGCCGAAAGTAGATTGCCCATTCGCTCGTGGCAATAATCACATACAGAGGTAATCATATCAGTGAGCTTGTTAATTACTCGTGTATGCTCTTCTTGAGTGAGTAATCGATCAAGTACTGATTCATCAAATGAGCCGTCGCATAAACGTTCGGCTGACAAGTCCGCTGTGTCTCTCATCACATCATGAACTGCCTAATAAAAATATTCACACAATTCTTATATATATATAATGCACTAGTCCCTCTCTAACTTAAGAAAAATAATGGTCGTCACAATCTCGAGACCGCAATATTTGGTGTTGTTTAATTCTCATAATTATATATTCCACAGCATAAGAGAGAGTGTAAGTGAAACAAAATCTCATATTTAACATTAATTTAAAAAATTTCTCTGATATAATAAATAATATAACGTAAAAAATAAAGTGAAGAGCATACGAGTTACGTCCTTTTCAAATTGTATATACCTTAACTCGTAATAGAAGTGATGTGAAAGATTGTATAGTATTGTGGAGCAAAGTTAATCTTTCCGTCAAAGAGAGACCCCCGACTTCGAGAGCTGCCGCTTGCTGATCGCTACAACAGTCGCTCGCTGCCAGTGCCTCTATCACCCGTTGCTTCGTCAAGGCTCTTACAGTAGTCACAGCTTCCTCTTTGTACGTATCCACAAATTGAAAATGTTTCTGACGTAGTAGACCAGAAATGATGGAAACCAGTTTATCCTGTTCGTTGAGTACGTACAAATGATCTCACTGGGAAGAGATGTATGAAGGTATGTTTGCTACGAACTAGGGATAGAAAGCGATGCGAAAAATTGTGAAAGTACTTACACCGTCTAAAACGGTATTCTCGCCACTCAACGGTCTATTGAGATCCGCAGTCGCGTATCTTTGAAATTCAGTCGACAGCATCTTATCCACGAGTTTCTCCATTTCAGTTAATTGAGAACTTAAATGTCTAAATCAAATAAACATACAACGATTACGTTTGTAACGTGTTGATAATTCATCAATTATTCGTTAAAGAAGATTACGCGGACGTATAATAGATAATGAAAAATAATCTCTTCAGAGTTTCTGGATGTTTACCTAAAGCTATGTATTCCGTTTAATTCTTGCAAGAGAATTTCTTGCGTCGTGGAAATAAGGTCTAACGCCGCAACGTAATCTGGAGTGGATAGCAGTAATTGTATCATGGGTTGGCTTTGATGCACGGTTGCCATAAGTTTTAATTTCTCTTGTACCAATAATCTGTTAGATCTAGCACGTTCTAGGCTAAATAAAAAGAACAAGAAAATATTATGCAAAATATTTACATTGATGCAATTAAATATATTATTGCTACATTCGCGCGGAATATCCTGAGCAAGTCGTTATATAATTTTTATATTTGTTTAAGATATACTCTTGTTTAATGAATTTTTAAAATATATGGTTCATTTGCTGTGCATATACTCACCGTAAAATTTCCAGAGAATTCTTGACTAGATACTTATCGACTTGATGAATATTCTTCCTGAGGGCTTTCAGAACCGTAATGGTTTGAGTGAGCTGTTCCATAAGCACGTCATGAGATGTCATTGCATGAAAAAAGGCTTGAGATTTCGACGCGACTTGCTCCGCTATCCGGACTTCCACAATATCCAGATAGTGACTAAGCTGTTACAGAATATTGCATATAATTTGGATTATTGAAACCTTGGTAATTAATTTTCGTGTATATATTTATGAAATTATTATTTCTATAATCTGTCAAAATATTTAAATTGACAGATGTAATGTCAGTAGCAAAAGTCTGTTCCTCTTTTATAACTATACCTTTTCTTGCATTTGCTTTACATGCAAAACGATATTGCATTCTTCGGTTAAAAGACCGTTTTTCGCAAACGGGAACACAGCATCAAAATTATCTTTTTGTGAAAGATCTAAATTTGGTATTAAAAAGATCTTTGGAATACTAGCTAAATCAAATTGCAGCCGATCTAAAGTAAAAGAAAAATATGTTATAGTTCCTACAATATATTAAAAAAAAGTTATACTATAATTTGTAAAACAACAGAGAAAAATCAGATAGATATAAGTTTGCATGACTGATCACTATATAAATCGAAATATATAATACAAAGTTAAATTTAATATTGAAGCTTAAAAGATTTTGGCGAATTGAACTTGTATGTAATTACATAAGAGAAAACTAATCTTTTTCTAATTAAGTTTAAACAAATTTTATTTTTTAATAGAAAGATATAACACTCTTTATATAATAAAAATAGAATATTATTTGATTATTAAAATATTTATTCTGATAAAAATAAAACGCATCGCACTAAGAGAAATAAAGGATTTTAACTCTCCGTTTATGAGAAATAGGATTTTAACTTATTTTTTGCATAAAAAAACTAATTTGCTCTTATAATTGATTTCCAAATATATCTCTATTTTTCTTTTTCTTAAGTACATCTTCTATGTACAATACATAAAACATTAAAGACCCTTACCCAATGATTTCACCTTCCTAAGATTCGGAAAATTTTGGAGTAATTCATTCGGAGTAGCCGGCCTATTTGCGCTCGAGTTCATACGCGAATGTTTTCGATATCTCTGAAAGAATAAATATAAATATAAATGTAGATTTTTCTATTGTTCACACACAGAATAAAAACATATTGGAACTTATTAGACATAATATTCATTAAAGAAGTTGTAAGTATTGATTACCCTTGCAATTTTTTTTAAATATGTCTCGAAATGTTGCATTGTGATCTCAGGAAGGTAAGGACTCTTCGGAATGTCCACTTTTTCCACAAATCCATCTCCCCAGGTACGAGTTAAAAGATTACTCTGCTTTCCCTTGAACGGATCGTTTAGGACAGCAGGTAAATTTTGCGCAGCCGAATAGATGGTCCATGACGAGCCACTCTCGGATAATTGGCCGTTGCTTTTTCGTTGCTGTTGCATAACTGCGTGCTTAGTGGCGTGTGCTATATAATCCTTATCAGAGACACCTTCCACAGGAAGACTAGTGCACACCTCATTATAGCCATAGAGACACACGAAGGATCCACCTTCTCTAGAACAATGTTGATCTCTCAAGTGCCTAGAACAAGTTGCAAAATAGTGCATTGTCATATATTAATAAATATAATTAAGACGGTAGGCGTATTTTTTCAAATACTGTTAAAGTGATACGCGAGTGCGTTTTCAGTTATTACATCGAAAGCCTATATAATTTTGAAATGTAACTTTAAATTGTTGAATTATGAAAAAAAACTCGCGAAATGTATCGTCGTTTTAGCAAAACGGAGCATCGTGACTGACAGACGTTAGACAGATGGACCCACCTAACGAAGTCTTGGATTTGCTTGAATGTCTGGTTGGTGCAATGCTCGCATACGAAAACCATGGGTATCGAGTCGGATTCTCTCGCGATTTTTGCCATTGCCCGTATGTCACTTCAGCTCACCATCGTGATGTCGAGAGGCGCGTTTCGGAGCACTGCTCGGCCGGAGAGATTCTCAGTTCTCACACGCACGACCAGCGCGTACACGTCCCCACTTACAAATACACACGTTTTACGATACGTACACGTTGGCCAACTCAAAAACGAGACAGCCGGCTCGGCGAAGGTCACTAACAATATCCTCTTCACATGTGATCTCTCTCTGTCAACCTCTCTCTTGATAAAATTTTTATTATTCGTAAACGGGGTATCCAAATCATGTTAATGACTATGCGTCATTGTTTTCAATGCGCCGCGCATTTTTGATGACTCATAATTCGTATTTGTCAGAGCACGAGTTATTCTTTCGAGGACATTGTGAACACGCGTCCCCAGCGTCACGCGCAAGACTGAATCGAACCAACAATGAAACGTGCCGTTACATTCTTCAGATGGCGTGTTGGTGAATGGAAGAACTTGCTATCATTTTCCCTCCTATGTTGTTTCAATTTTCCTTGCCTACAGGTCGTCGCAAAAGACATTGACCTCTTTGGAGTATATCGGCTCCATTTCGCAGATTACACAATTGTATCTGCAATCATTGACAATAAATAAGCTCGATTCGTATACGATCTCTAATTTAATGATTTAATATATTGTATATATTACAAATTGTAGCATACAATGTAGTTGAGTCAACAATAATACATATATAAATACTCATATTTTTTCAAATGCTGAAGCAAAAGCAAATATTGAATGATTATTCATTCCTGCAAAAAGAAAAACAAATATAAAATTGACATTTTTATGACAAAAATAAGTAGCAACTTTAATTTTTTTAGACGATCTTTAGGAAATCGTTAACTTTAAAAAGTAAATTTTTGATTTTACTTATATTTTAACAATTTAAGTTATATAACATTAAGTTATATACTATTATTTTTTAATTTTTATTTTTTGTGTTAATTTTTATAGCAAAAAAATTTGTTTTTTATTAATATTTGTTATATTAATATTTATTATATTTTATATAATCAACTAAATTATTGCACTAGTATCGCCCTTGATTTTGTATTTGGATCTGTATCGATTCCTCTCTACTGAGGGTATTGATTCATCCCACTTCGGAAGCTGAATATGTAATAAACGATAGAAGACAAACGTATACAGGGTGTCCCATAATTCGCGGATCACCCGCCATGTGCAGGTAGAGCAGATGAAACCGAGAAGAAAAGGTAAGAACATTTTTTATACCCTACGGATTAATCTATCTATATTTAACTTCTCAATGCAATAGACTTTTACTTGTATGATAGATCATAAGTATTATGAATAAAGAACAATTTTGTACAAGTTACTGTAATTTTATTTTTTGTTACACATGTAGAAAGAACATTGCTGTCACATGAAATGTCGGACTTAAGAAATTATTTTGTGAACACTTGTTTGGATGGGCGATTCGTCATGTTTTCTATTACAAAATTATTTTATGTCTCATCAGATTACGTTGATATATTTCTTTATGTTTCTGCATTTCTCGCCTCATTTTATCATTTGTTTTCCTTCAATGTTTTCGGTCTTTTTAATATGTACGTTGCAGCTGTTTCAATCTGTGTTAATATTATTATGTGTAACAATGGAATATTATTAGTATTTGCGATAAAAATGGCTGTTCGTCCTCTAAATTGCTTCAATTATTCAAGATGACATTATATAATATGCGTAAAATTGCATCGCAAAAAGATTCGATAGAAAATATTTGCAGTATCAAAAAAGATTTAACTTAACAAAGATGAGTAAATGGCAGTCTGAAAATATTCTTTTCGCGAAGTAGACAAGAATAATATAAATAATAAGTATATATAAACAGTTGTCTCTGTGTTATTATCATTGACAATTTGATCAGATGATATTGATCAAGTGACATTGATTCTCTAATTTATCTTTGTGATTGTTATTCCGGGTTACGCGACTGGCAATAATCTAAAATTTGCATTGCGGATGAATTGAATGAGACAGGTATTGCATGGCTTCTTCAATTTAATGATAATAATTATTGGCTTTAACGCCAACGATTATTATTATTATTATCGTTCTCGCTTGTTCGTGGTAGAGATGGTGGTGTTGGTATGGCTTGAGTAATCTGCATAGTTTGTCTCATTTGCTCCTGTTCCTGCTGTTGTTGATGCTGACTCCGGCGTACTTCGTGAGCCAGTAGTTTTTGACGCTTCTCCTCCATCAATCGCTCGCGATGCTTGTGTATATAATCGTATACGTTTGGAAGACCCATGATCACGCAAGCCGATAATGCCGATCTGCATATGTTCATATCCGTTGCTTCATACCTGCGTTTGCATACAATTATAAGAATAAATATTATAATTTCTAGCCACAGAAAAGTGGCTAACAGGAATCAGATGCCTGTGTTATCAGACGTTCCTTTTTCGTTGTAAATTTGATTGCACGTCACAGAATGTTTCATAAATTTTAAATATTTTGAGTTATATAAAAGAGATATGTCCAAAAAATTAAATTTTGCGAGATTTCCAAATAAACATTTATTACATTACAGTTAGATTTGCAATTATTTTTATATCAGCTGTTTATACTGTTTTAATATAGTATTACTTTCTTATATAGAATTGTAAAATGGATTGATGATAAATTAATTACCATTCGTTCGTTTTTTCATCGTAACATTCCACTTGGTACGTCGTAGTAACACCGTTAAATCCACCGATAGCAAAAATCATATCGTCAATGACTTCAATGGCAAAGTTGCTACGCGGATTATACATATCCGGAATATGACTCCACGTGTTCGTAGAAGGCTTATATTTTTCCCCGCTGCACATTCTCGATATTCCGTTGAAGCCTCCTTTATAGCCAGAGATTGTTAATTTGCTTGCAACATTTACATATTTATTTTGCAATAAAATAAAAAGTAACGAGAAAGGAAATTTTTTTTTAAATTTTACAATGGGTTAAATTCTGATATTTGTGCGTGATTGATAAAATTCAGATAAATATGTACAAGGCATACTAAAGCAGCTTTAAGCGTGAAACAGTTTTGGAATTAAGAGTTTTCTTCTATATACAAATACTTGTGCATATGTTTTGCAAGTACCGTGACAGGATTTCTTTCGCAATAAGTACATGTCTTAATACCAATAACATAAACGTAGCCGTGATAAGATATGCACGACACGCCGCTCCTGCGTGACCTCATTGCAGTTATCATTGTCCACTGATTGGTGTTTGGATCATATACCTCGGCTGTATTCAGACAATCATGCCCGTCGAAACCGCCCGTAATATATATTTTGTCTATAGAACATACGGAAAATATATATACTAATAGAATGATTGTTATGTTGCAAAAATAAGATTGACAGAGATTTATAAGCACATCAAATTGAAAATTTGAAAATTTATTAAGGAAGAAATAAAAATTTGTCTTCTCTCTCTCTTTTTATATTATATACATTCCTTTCTTTTCAATAAATAACTTTTTTGTACTATTTATTTTTTTTTCTTAGTGTATACTTTAATTACTTATATCCATATTTATATTATATATAACAAAAAAATTATTAATATATATGTATGTGTGTGTCATATTAAAAAATTATTTTACAAAATACTTGTCCCCCCCCCTCTCTTCATCTCAAAATATATCTGCATTTTTAATACAGCAAAATTATGCTACAGCCAAGATCTTTAGACGAAATAAAATAATTGTAATAATGTGCTTATTTTAAGACTCAAATAGTACCGTTCAAAGTAGTTGCGCTGGCGTCAGATCTCTGCACGTTCATAGGTGCAATGAGGGACCACTGATTTGTCTTATAGTCGTAACGCTCCGCCGTTTTTTGCCGATGATATCCATCATATCCTCCCATCGCGTAGACCAGATCGTTCAAAACTGCCACACTAACGTAACATCTGCGACAAATGAAGGGAGCCTGATGCGAGCTTTCGTTGCCAGTGATATTAGAGGAGCTAGTCACTGAACTTTGGTTTATATTGTTTTCACAATATCTATACATATACACATTTTTATATTTTTCTACATCTAACATCAATTTTATTATGTAGTACATTTAACTTTTTGGATTAATTAGAAAATGTGCATTAGATATGATTTTAAGAATGAATATATAAACGTACTATTTTATTCATTTCTTAAATATCTATAATTGTAAATAAATGGACAATAAAATTAATATCATTGTAAATAAATTGACAATAAATATCAACAGACAATAATATCATCCACAAATCTTTCACAGGACTAGTGACTAGCCCCTCTGAAATATATTCGACCTTCTAGCGTTCATGGGAGCAACCTCTCGCCACACCTTGGTCACCGCGTTGAAACAACGACAACTGTTGAAATAATCGACCCCGTCGAACCCTCCGATAACGTAGATATTGAATCCAATCACTGCGAGTCCATGATAAGCTCGTGGACTGGTTGGATCTGTTTCTTCGATCTAGAGAACTCAAGATCGCATATAAATAATTGCTATAACTCTATTGAAATAATATTTATTCCAATTTTAGTATAAAACGTGGCTTTATTGTTAGAGAAAATCATGAATACTATTTCGTTCAATTTCTCTTGCATGAAACCAATAGAATTAATAAAAAATAAAAGATAATTTGTATATATTCACTATACAAATAGTCCTACCATTTGTATTTTTCGATTTTTACAGCTTACTTCGCGATTATTATGCACGCAGATGGCAAAACGAGACGGTATTTTTTCGCGTTAAAAAGAAATTGTACATTAAAATATCATTGATACTACCGGAATCCATCGATCTGCTCTCGTATCATAAGTCTCGATATAATTTGTTGGCGAGCCACCGCTCCATCCACCGATGGCGAACAAAATCTCATGTGGAACTCTAGGTCGCGCGATTTCCGGTGTTGGCACTTCTCCGTCTTTCTGGGTGATCATCTCCAAATCGTATAGAAATTTCAGAGTTTCGATGATGATGGGTCTACACGCATCATTGCCCACGACGTAAGGATGATCTTTGACATTCTCCAGAAAAAACTGCGTGTCTAAGAGACCGAGTCTAATATTCTTCATTAGGTCCACTATATAATCTTTTCTAGATTCTAGATCGTGATTTATCCATCTCAGTATCAGCTCCCAAACCGTCTGCTCGCTTTTCACGTTTAGTTCATCGGCGCCGACTAACGGCTTTAATTCCTCGATGGGTAAATATAAAATTTCTTCGCTTCTCTGAGATACCTAACGTAAATTTGAAGAGAATGAAATCGGAGGGGAAGAATAAAATATGTAAAAATTATTACGTTGATCGCACCTCGACAAAGTGTCCTACAATAAAACGATAAGCATCATTTTCCAACTTTTTGCAAAAATGCTGACGAGCGAATCTCATCACTCCGATGCAATTTTCCGGCGCCAAATTATCCCTTAGATAGTCGCAGCACAGATCAAGTACACCCAGAATACTTAAATAATCCGCCGTGGTCAACAATTCGCATACATTTTCACGATTCACATCAATAGATCGCAAATATGCGTATTCCAGCAAAAGATTCATCATCGGGCTCGTCACACCTGGTAGAAGGACATCGGTTTTCTCACGAGAATGCAATGTAGTTGTGAATAATGTCCTGTAAAATTAATTGGGCAATGAAAGTTGCGAACATTAATCCGATATTTATTTTAATTAATATATAATAATTTATATTATTTATTTTAAAAAGATAATATGTTTATTTTGATAGAAATTTATTACAAAAATTAAGATAGCAAAAAAAACAGCATCAATAAAATTATTAAATTCTACGGATTATTATTATTATAAGGAATATTCATTGATTTTGCATATAGTAATAAATTTGTATATTTCATAAAATTAATATATTTGTGCATTGATAGGCAAAATTACTTTCTTTTTAGATAATTATCATATATACATATGTACACACATACATAATGTAAAGCTTGAAGAGAATATGTCGGGTAGAATTAAAAACCTGAAATAAGTACTGCATGCTGAAAGTATAGCTCGGTGAATCGGGAAAACACCACCGTCCTCTAATCTCAATACTGCATCGCAAAGCAAATTATTTTGTCGGAAATCGTAGAGTGACTGCATCGCTTGTGTGCTCATGCAACGGCCGCCGCTTTCGGCTATCAAACGTTGGTTATTTGCATTACATTTTTCATCTTTTCTGTTGCTCGTACTTGGTTCTACATCCATATCAAAATTAGAATAATTGAGACGTTTGGTGGTCCCGCGAAGATATTAACCCGATGGATTACAACATTAAAATATTTTTATTAAATTAAACAGTTTTTCTTCAATAGATCTACGGAAAAGAAAATAAATAGTGAGTATTTTAATTTCAAGCGGAGTAATAGACCACGATTGCATAAGATTGCAGATAACGATAAAAAGATTATATAATTATAACATTAAAATTATAATAATAATTTAAGATTAAAGGTTAAAGATGTGTGGCATGAATTAACACTTTTTTTTATTAAAATGAGATAATGTACCAAAATATAATTAATAAATTATTAATAAAATATTTTTGAATTATATTGGTTAAGTATGTATACGCGATAAACTATTATTATATAATCATACATATATATATATGATCGAACTGTTTTGCTATTTGTATATATTATTTTAAAAGAATGTATATAGCTTATATATTTAAAAATTTATTTTACACTTACTGAGTAAGAATAATTATTTCCTGAGAATTTAGTGATCGCGCGGGAGGTTAGCAGTTCGTATCGATCTTGGTGTAGCTTGACTTTTACAATTTGCGACTTGATAATTTTTCGATCTGGGATGAGGTTGTGATTGCGATAAAGTCCCGCTCGCGATCAGTTGCTGAGAGTGATTAGCAATGGCTGGAATGTGCTACCGTGTGTCGGGTTCATATGTGCCGGAATTTGGAATGTGTCAAAATTTTGACACGTGAACGGAAGGATCGAAGACCGATTCGTGAACTGGAGAAATGCAGAAGGCCGTGAAGGGGAATGAATGCGGTGAGGGGATTGTAAGAGGGAGATACAAATTATTTTGTATGATTTTAAAAGCGAATAAGTGTCGCGCCTGGCTGTGACATGTGGTCTTACATGTCCGCCGTTCAATCAGAAACTGCTGCTCGACAAAAGAGATCCTTCTGTTCCTGCTTCATACCGAGCTTGATACAAGTTTTTTGTTATTAATTAAGTTATTAATTTATTTCAAATTGTCGTAAATTATGAGAATTATGAAATAATTTCCTTTATAGATATATATACACATTCGTTGGTAATCAAATTAATCATCAAAGAAAAATTTACGTACACTGATTTCTTTTCTACATAAGTCATTTCGTTGCATCAACATATCGTTGAAGTCACTTGGTTGTCACTTGGTATGGCCACACGTCAAATACTATCCAGATTTGAGATACTAAGTTACAGATTACAGGTACACGTGGTTTCGATCGTCTTGACGTTGTCACATTCCGCACTCTTCTCGTCGACGTATTCATCCTCCTCAACTCTTTCGTCGTTTCGCGATTTTCTTTTTCTCTCCTCGAATATGTGTCTGTGCTTCAATGCGTCGTGCTTGCAATCTGATCGTCTGCAGTTGTGAATTAGACAGGCGTTGTTATCCGGCATCAATCCGCTAATTGGCAAGATGGGTCCAATTGAATACGACGTGGCAAAGCCGTTGCTTCTCGAAATACCATTAAAAAATGCGTTCCATTTGCTGACGAAAGACTCGTACCCTTTCGTCGTAATATTTTTCGTCTGCGTTGACGTTATCGACACGATATCCTTTTTCTGCGGTACCTCACTCGATTGTTCGCCGAATAATCTGAATGTCCATGTGACAACAGCAAAAGTCGCTGCGTTTGTCGGAAATGCTCGAAGAATCGTTGAATTTAAGCCTCGATATAAGCAGCTGTATCCTTCAGCACGTACGGACTTCTTAAGACAATCTAAAGCTCCCGAATAACGATTGCTACTTTCTGCTTGTATGCGTGATTTGATGACATCAATCGGATAGGAGATCACCCAGGAAGCGGTGCCAGCGAGACCTCCGGCCAGCAATATGTGAGGTGTCGAGATCGGCTGTTTCGAGGACGTCTTGGTTAGCATCTCGTAAGTCACGAAGTACACACCGTAACTTGGCCCTTCCCTGAGAAACGTAATACTCAGCCCTTTGTAGACGCCGCGATAACCTTCCTGCTTGTAGATGTTTCTCAAGCACTGTATAGGTCCGCGGAGATCACCCTGACACGGGGATTGCAATTGCAGACGTGTTTTTGCCAACTCTATCGGACTCGAGACGGGAGTTTGTGCAAGCCCGGCGGATGCACCGGCCAAGAAATGTGCCGACAATCGATCAGGTTCGGATAGGTGCCGCTGAGTATGCCCGTAAACGCCGAAGACGATTGCGTTCACCATAGCCACCCCCGCGATTGGCGAGGTCATGCCTCTGTAAAGGCCGCTCACCTGTACAAAGATACACGTGAATGGCGATATTAATAGATTTTGTCCGTGAATAAGACGAACGGATTAAAATTTGTGATTCTCATTTTCTTATTTTCTCTCGGTTCTATAATCAATTTCTCTTCTTAAATACCGATTCTTTTGCGAGTATAGTGCGTAGACAATCCCAAGTGCCTCGATATTTTGGATTGCGGGAGTCCTGCGTCTGCATGTGGACTTTGACTGTGTCCAAAGGATATCCCACCATAATACCGGCACATCCTATAATTTATAAAATAGTTTTTATTATATTAAAACATGAAAATTCTTATAAATGCTTTTATATACATCTATAACGTGATATATTTTCATATAATACACGCATAAAATCTGCATGATGCATTATTTAAAAAAATTATGATTTAGCAACAGATATATTTTTATTTATAAAAATCTGTTACTGGTATATAATATAAAAGAGGATGTTATGAATACTAGTTAAATTTTTGATTTGCGTAAGTTTGATAAAAAGAGAAATCGCTATTTCGACATGTGTTGTTTTCGACTGGCGCGATAAACCAAGTCACTCGATAAAATAACTTTTCTTTATCGTCATTTAATTCAGTGGCATTGTAAATCTAGTATATTATACAGCAAATAATAATTGAGATAAAATTAACTTTCATAAATTCAATTACACCTATTTATCAAGCAAGCAACGAATTTTGGAAAGTGAAATTAACTTTGTAACTGATAAAGAAAATTATATCCAGATAATTATGTTATATCTAGATAATTATGTTATATCCAGACAATTATGTTATATCCAAAAAATTATTTAATCAGAATGTTAGAATTTATGCAAATCAACGCCACAATTGAATTTGCACAAAATTGACTTTACCACCCAAGCAGCCAGCGAAGAAATCGAGCGACCAAGCCATCTTTATCCTGTATTATCTGCGATCTTTCCACTTGCAATATCGTCTGCGTCTATGAGGATCGTTCTCAAATCTTGTTCCTCTCAGGTATACATTGAAAGATGTATAAGTCGCGAATCGATTAATAGCACCGAGCAATAAATTCGAATCCATGAAAGACTGATATATAACTGATCCTTTTAAATTAAGCTTCAAGTGTGTATAGATGATAATATAACATTCGACTATTTCTGAAAAAACAATTATTTTATTTTATTTTATTTTATTATAATGATATTTTTTGCGACTAACTAAAACATACAATATTGTGGAGATATTTTTATTATTGATTTTATATATTGTTTTATAATTTTATTTTATATAATTTAATGTATATATATTAGAACAATATTAATCGAAATAAGAACAATCTCACTTATCAAGTTTTAGATTATCGCGAAAATTATCTAATAATGTTCTTTTTAAAATTTATTGTTCTTATATTCTTTCCAAAAATTACTATTTCAAATTAATTAAAGTTTATTATATATCAAAAACACGTTCGTAATTTTTATCGTAATATATTGGGTTGAACGGAAAGTTTGTGCCGTTTCTTCGGTCTTCATCTGTTAGCAAAAAACAGAACGAACTTTCCGTTTAACCTAATACTTTAGGGTGCTTATCATGAATATCGTATCATGAATCGTATCATGAATAAAAACTGTTAATAGACTTCGACAGTCTAAGAGAATGTAATAATAAAATAGTATAAAATAAAATAGTACAATCACAAAAAATTTTAACGGCTATCTAATCGTATTATTTTACCTAATAATTGATTGTTCTAAATATGTAACACAACTTCACTAAAATTGCAGTTGGTTTTTATCAGGATGATAATATAATGTCGAAAACTTCATTCGTCAGATAAGGTCACATTGTCAATAAATTTCGCCGCGCGATTCACTTTGTTGTTCGTTTCTTTTTCAGAAAATCACATGTATAACATATATACTCCGACAAAAGAAATTATTTGGGGCGTGCTTCCTTCGTTAAATCTTCTTTCTTACTGAGAGAGAAGAGAGAGATTGGCGTTTCTTCCAACTTATTCTTGGTACAAAGATCGTTACATTATCATTTACATTATCAAATTACTAACATACGCACATATACATACATATATACACATACACAAGCGCTATCGTAACAGTGTACTATATATTATTGAAGAATATGTTAATAATGTTTAAACATTTTATCACACGACCTGCCGTCGTGATCGAGCGAAGCACGGGGTCACAAACATTGGATGATAAGATTGATCAAGTCTCATATATTCAATATATACAGGGTGAGTCACTTAAAATTACTTTCTAAGATATCTTCATAAATATTGATTTTACACAAAAACGTTTTAGACAAAAGTTAAATAACTTTGTTAGTTTATCAACAGAATTCAATACCAAAGACATGAAGCAACATATATTATGTGGGCAACACTTTGAACACCTTATTAAATAAAATTAACCCATTTTGTTCGAAAACTTTTTATTTTTATTATCTATCTATTACTCACATCTCGTTTTTTTTATCTTTTATTTCAAGGTTGCTCCATAGTCAAGATGTTATGGGTCATTGGATTCGTCTTTTCATCCTCTACAATTCATCCTCTACAACAGAGCTTTCCATTAAAAATACTTGAGATGACTTTCAAAATTTTCTGGCGCCTCCACCTAAAAAAGCTAAGAAGACCAAAATGTAGCCATTTAAAAATTATTTAACTTTTGTCTGAAACATTTGTATGTAAAATCAATATTTAGAAAAATATCTTAGAAGGCTTTTTCTAGTGACTCCCTGTATATAATTCTACATTGGCATCGTTTTTTATGTAGATGTTTGTAACCAGATTATTAGTAGTTAGATAATGATATGAACTATTTGGGACATTATAAAAGAGACGAAACACTCAACAGCGATATACTTGATATAACACATGACTTAGATCACTCATTAGCTGAGATCACTCACAACTCCGCATTTACTTAACACATACGGCGGATCGCATGATATATTATCGTTATAATATTAATTGCATAAAAATTCTATATTTATCCATTTTCAGAACGTATTTTAAATTATTTATGCATTTTTAATTTAAAAAATTGTAAGTTTATTATTAATTTGAATGTTCAAAATATCCCTTAGTAATAGAAGAGCATAATACTTATTAATTATTTTGTTAAATTTGTTCTATGCCATACGCGTCATGAATGATGCGTCATGCAAGAATGTTCCAAAAACTAAAATTTTTTATTTTCTCACGTCTCCGATTCGCAATGTGTCAATTTAAATTTAAACTTCAGAGAAGTGCATTCAGAAAACTTTGAAGAAGTTAATATAATATCATCTGTGATAAAAAAGTAATTTAATCATGAAAAAAGAATAAAACGTTGGTTACTGGAAAATAATGAGTTTTGAGGAAGAATTAACTATGGCTATTTTTTTAAATTATATAATATTAGATGCTTTATGTATATTTCTATAAATCTTGTATGGCATGTTATTTATTTACGTCTCGTTTTGCAGAGATTCATCTATCCAATACCATTCTATCTAATCCAACAGCATGCTAAGGAAGATATAAAACTAATTCTTTCTTTCTTTCTTTTCATCTCATATTTATAAAAAAATTTATATTGGTACATAAATAATTGGTAAATAAATAATGTTAGTGTAATGTTTCAGATATATATTGAAATAGTTTACAAATTCGAAACATGCTTGTTTCTATCTTTTATGATTTAAAAAAAAAATAGTTTATTTATATTTCGAAATTATTTATATATATAAGATATTATTTTTTATCTATAAATCTTACGTATATTAATAATCTAATATAATATCATATTACATATGTGTTGCGATTAATGATAACATAAACATACGTTAATAAATTGTTGCGTTGTGGCAAGACGTAGCCATATTTGTTTATTATAATAATATAAATGATTATAAACTCAAAAGATACTACATTATCTCGTGTGTTAGGTTTTAGATAACTCTTCGACCCTTTGTCATGGATTTAATAGCTTTCCTCTGCATACATCAATACTTGTTTTTATTCTTTTGCAATACAAGAATATATTTCTTCTTTCGAATAACCTGTTAAAACTGTTAGCTGCGCTACAGCCAGCACCAGTTCTTCCGCGTCGTTGGACGGGTAGAGAATAATAAAGTCATTTCAAATAGAAGTCAATCGATTACTCGTGCTTTCGTATTTTCGGATCACGACAATGTATGCGCAAACAAGCCGACAATTTGATCAAACATTGGACGCTGAAAAGGAAGAAGATGGCTCACTTCTTAATAACTCACCCCCAGACACGGTAGGGTAAAAAATACAATTATTATTATTAGTAAAATAACAAGACGTATTATTGCTTTCTACAATTTTCACTTTTACATCTTATTGAAGGTGGTTATTTTACTTTGCTTCCATGAATGAATATTTTTTCTCTGATAGAGAAAGGAAGATATACATATAAAATGAGGTTTATAGATAGAAGCGATCATGAGTACATATACAGTTATTCTTACAAAAATATTTTAAGCTACATAATTTTTAATTTTTAATATAGTTTAAGTATAACATAATTATTCTTGATAAGTACAATGTGATATCTATTATGTCTTAGAGGGGTAGCCATATTAGTTTTAAATATAAATTGATATAATTAACGCGATTTTAATAAATGCGGTTTTTTTGATAGATGATACTTACAATTCATATATTACGCATTAATAAATCTAATACATTTCGAGATTCGTGAGTTTAACATTTCATAAAAAATTTTTAGCCTTTTAAAATTAATAATCAATTTATGAGTTAAAATAATAATTTGCCCTGTAAAATTAAAATTTTTATTTTCATAAATTTTTGTATACAGTCACTATAAAAAAGTTAGTACGACATAAGGTAACATTTACGATTTTCAAATTAAATTATATTCTACAATATCAAATTCATGAATCTCAAATTCATGAATCTCAAAACATATTATATTTATTAACTTTTGACGTAGCTGATCCGTCGAGTTTTTCCTAAAGTTGCGGTTTCATCACAGATTAGCTGATGGTGATTTGCGCCACGATTGCACCATGATGTGCTAATCATTATATCAAACATCATATATGCAATATTTATCACTTTCTCTCAGTTTATTTAAATGGAATACATATGTGTATGTGTAATACAATACATATGATTTATATATAAGGAGAAAACAAAATAACGTATAACAACAATTTAAGTTTGACTCGACACATACGCAATTATCGATGTTGGGTAGATGATGAAAGAAAATAGTTTCTTGCGTACTACATGTGTTTGTAAACAGCAATTTAATCGAATAACAGAAATTCATATCACATTTTATAATTTTCCATTAGATTTCCTTTATGCATGATGAACTAAGGAATGATGTTTATGATAATAAATGTCAATAATGCGCGGAACAAATTAATTTCTTCCATGCCAAGTAAATTACAGAACAGTAAATTACAACTTTGACTTTCAAATTGACCTCCGTCATTAAAATGATGCAAAATCATTCATAGATTACAGTATTCAAAGTTTGATGTTTTTTCTTTCTGTACGAAGACATTTAATGATATGTTCGAGCAGTTTATTCGCGCCGCGTATATAATTATATCTCTGCTTATGCATAAATCAAATGAGGAAAAAAGTTGTGTAGACGAAAAAAAATTTCAGCATTCAACATATCTGGATTTCCCTCAGCCGCTCAATCAAGTAGCATCTCGAGTAAGAGGGGAGTTTTGCAGCCATATATATATATGGATCTGAAAGGACTTCTTAATTATATTGTTTTACGTGCCAGTTTATCTTATAGTTATACTCTCGTGATACGCGAGAATATTCGAACCATAAGAACGCAGTAATATTTAATCATACAATGGTAGATTTGACAGAATTACCGGTATGTTTGTATGACATTAATAAAAAAATTAATAAATTATGGATTTCAAATTTAAATAAATGTTTTATTAGTGCACGGAGTGTAAAATGATCATATTTATTCATATTTCCATGAAAATCTTTATTAATTAACATGTTAGAAATATGACATCGTCAATAAAAAATGTTTCTCTTTCTGAATTACATGTTTATATTTTTAATTTATATTTTTATATTTACCAAAATGTTTAAAAAATTTGAGATATTAAAATATTGCTGCAAAAAAGATTTTGAAGGATAATTATTTTGTTTAACGCATTATAATAACGCAAATATAATTATTCTTAATTAAACTGTTTGTTAGCCAAAGCTCATCCATGGCGGAAATTATATCAAAGAGGGCAAAGACTCAGCTAAAAGCACCTGCCTCATTTTTTCCCCTACAGAAGAAGATGAAGTTGGATCGTTGGGAAAATATCTCCAACTGTTTGCGGTAAGTGAGATGAAGTGTGACATATGTTAATGAAATTGTTAAATATTGAAAGAAATGCAAGTATGCAAAACATTATTTCAGAAACATAAAGTGAATCTCTTGCACATCGAATCCAGAAGCTCTCTTCGACGACCAAACGGCTATGAATTTATGGTGGAATGTGCGCCGAGCGGTAATATAGCCTCCGCAATTGAATCTTTACGAGATCAGTGTAGTTACTTTTCAATCATTTCTAGGTAGGAGTCTTTTAGATTTATTTAAATATTTTAATTATTATATATTTTTAAAGAATGTATTCTCTATAACATTATT